GCCTAGTGGGTCCTGCAACTTTTGGGTTTTGGGGTGTCACTGGGGCTCTGGGGTCTCTCCAGGCACTCAGGGGTCCCTGCAGCCCACAGCTCTGGGTCTCTCTTCAGGCATCTGCGGGTCCCTGGTGCCACGGGGCCCTGGAGTCTCCCCAAGGCACTTGGGGGTCCCTGCAGCCCTGAGGCTCTGGGGTCTCTCCAGGCACTCAGGATCCTGCATATTTGGGGCTCACCAGGGCTCTGGGGTCCCACTGAGGCTCTGGAATTTCTCTAGGATCTTGTCCTTGTAACCTTGGGGTCCCTGGGTTCACTGCAGCCCCATGGCTCTGGTGGCAGTGGAGCTCTGGAGTCTCCCAGGGAGCCCCGGGGCCTCTGCAGCCCCCAGGTTTTGGGATCTTTCCAGAGCTCCTGTGGGCCCCTGCAGCCCTGGGACCCCAGGATGGTTCCTGAAGTCCTGGGACCACACTCAGCTCCAGGGTACCTGCAGGCCTGGAGCTTTGGGACCTCCCTCTGCAGCCTGTGTTTGCTGCCTTGCACCACTCCTGGGTCAGGATCTTGCTTTTTCCCACCCTTCCTGCCCCTGTCTGTGTCCCTCCAAGCCCCTGATGTCTCTCAGGTACTCAGCACCTTCCTGCTCCCACCCCGGGACCATCCTCACCTCCCAGCCCCTTCTCCTGGTGCAGCTCTGACCCTTCCTGGCCACTCCAGCTGTGTTTCTCTGGGACAAGAAACTCTGAATCCATCTTTGGCTTTTCCTCCTGACTCTCTTGTTCATTCCCCAGGGGATAAACCCCGAAGGAACAAGGATCTGAGGGGAGTCAGTGCTGTGGTTCACATGGAGCCAAAGCAGAACTGTCTTCTGTAGGAAAAACATTTTCATTGCAATTTGCCAAGGCTTTCAAAGGTGATTCTCAGAGGAGCAGGAGCAGCCTCTGCAGAGGGGATTGGATGTTCTTCTCCAGCTCTGGAGAGGCTGGAAGCTCATCCTGCTGAGGCATCCAAGACATTGATGGAGCTGTGAACACCCACATGCAATGCCCTGCAACCCCACTGCCAGCATGGAAATCCCACATCCCAGCTCTGGGGTCTGTGAAGACACTTGGAGGGTTGAAAATGGTTCTGGAGAATGGAAGGAGGAGCAGGAGGAGGGAGGGACCAGTGAGACACAGACAGGACAGAGATGGGTTCTCCTCCCTGTGCCCTAAGCAGGCCCCACATGCCCTGACCCCACCAGGCTCTGGAGAGGGCACAGAGGGACCCCTGGAGCTGCTGCTGGGACAGTCCCCTGTGTCATCTCCACACAGGGACAGCGTGGCCAAGAGCGGGACCCTGCTGCTCACAGCAGCCCTGGTCAGCCCAGGGAATGGAGCCCCAGCCCAGGATGGGATTGGTGGCACTGTTGGGCCTCAAGGGCACATCACAAAATTGCCTCTGAGATGAAAGAATCATCGTAATCCCAGCATGGTTGGGGTGGGAAGGGACCTTAAAGCTCAGCTCATCCACCCTTTCTGCACCTCCCACTGCCCAGGCTGCTCCCAGCCCTGTCCAGCCTGGCCTTGGGCACTGCCAGGGATCCAGGGGCAGCCACAGCTGCTCTGGGCACCTGTGCCAGGGCCTGCCCACCCTCCCAGGGAACAATTCCTAATTCCCAATATCCCATCCATCCCTGCCCTCTGGCAGTGGGAGCCATTCCGTGTGTCCTGTCCCTCCATCCCTTGTCCGCAGTCCCTCTCCAGCTCTCCTGGAGCCCCTTCAGGCCCTGGCAGGGCTCTGAGCTCTCCCTGGAGCTTCTCCTCTCCAGGGGAGCACCCCCAGCTCTGCCAGCCTGGCTCCAGGGCAGAGGGGCTCCAGCTCTTGGAGCATCCCCTTGGCCTCTCTGGACTCACCCAGCAGCTCCACGAGGAGAAGTTAAACAGGATGTGACAGAGGCAGCGTTATCATGAGGCTCCACATTTGTTGCAGTGATCTTCTTCCTCCCTTGGGCAGCTCCCAGGGCACCACCCAGACCCAAACCTTGGCTCCAGAAGAGCCAAAGACGGTGGTGAAGGGGTTGGTTGGAGCCCTGAGTGCTTCAGGTGGGACATGGGAGCCCAGCTCAGCCCAGCTGGCTTGCAGGGGGATGTGATGGCGACCAGCCAGCTCCTGGGTGGCTGTGCAGTTTCCCAGCTTGAGCACTGACCCCAGAGGCTGCTGCAGGAGGGAAGAACTTTCCATTCCACTTTCCAGCTGGAAGAAAAATGCTGCCACGTGCCAGGTGCAGAGCAGGGCTGGTTCCACCTCAGTGCTGCTCCTTCCCATGGAGCCTGGGGGCTCCTCCATCCCAGTACTGCAGGCCCTCCCTTCTCTCACCCCATGGACACGTTTGGAGCTCCAGAGCCACCAGCCTGGGCTCCTGCCCTCCCCACACACCCACTCGAGGTCCCTCCAGGCTGTACCTGGGGGACAGGCCCCCCTGCACAGGGACACACTCACAGCACACTGCAGCAACGGGGCCGGACAGCTCCGGGCCATAAATCTGCCCGGCCAGAGCTGCTCCCTGCTCCAGGGCCCCAAGGCCACCCCAAGGTCTTTCCAAGCGGGATCTCCCCTCCCTTCCACTGCGGCAGCTCTGTCACGGAGCGTGGCGCTGGCAGCTCTGCCCCAGGGCAGCTCCAGCGGGCAGCACAGCCCAGGGACAGCCCCTGTGCCCCCAGAGCTGCAGGGCAGCACAGCCCAGGGACAGCCCCTGTGCCCCAGAGCAGCAGGGCAGCACAGCCCAGGGACAGCCCCTGTGCCCCCAGAGCAGCAGGGCAGCACAGCCCAGGGACAGCCCCTGTGCCCCCAGAGCTGCAGGGCAGCCACAGGCAGCTCTCTGCTCTCCAGGAGAGCTGCAGCTCTCCAGCTTTCTCCCTGCTCTCCTCTCCAGTTTTTCCCCATTTCCCAGTGCCCAGGTGATGCCGGTCCCAGGATCAGCAGCGGGGCTGTTCCCAAACTTCATCCCAGGGTGGGAGGAGGAGGGAATTGCACCCTGGCCTTGGTAGGTGAGGCTGATCCAGGGGGAAGGGGTGTGAGAGTGGTGGAGCCTCATTCCAGGTGGACTTCAAGAACCCCAAAATTCCAGTCAAGAGAAACCTTGTGGACATCAACAGGATGGGCGAGGTAACCCCAGGTTTCAGGCAGGCTGGGGACCAGGGGCTGAGCAGGATCCCAGTGAAAGGAACGGGGACAAGGTCCCAGATAAGTTCTGGACAGGAGGATGGACAAATGGGACAAGCTGCACCCTGGGCAGCACGAGGAGGGTGTGGGCCCCAGCCTGGCTGCTCTGTGCAGCACCAGGGAGCCCCAGGCTCTGTGCTCAGAGTGGCTTCCAGTGCAGGGAGAGATGGAGGGGCTGGAAAAGGACCAGCAGGGCTGCAGGCTGGGGCTGGGAGAGAGCTGGGCTGGGATCTACCAGCAACCTGCAGGTGCCCTGGGGACAGAGCCAGTCCCTCTCTCTCGGTAGGATAGGACTGGTACCCAGGGACAAGGGACATCCATTGCAGCTCCAGGCTGGGCAGTAGAATTGGTATTTTTTCCTGGGGAGGTGGCAGGCTGGGCTGAGCCCCGGGTGTCCTTCCCTGTGCCGGTGGTGTCCTGCTCACGGTGGGAGGGGGGCTGGACACGCCCCGGGGGTGCAGCAATGCTGTGAGCCCAGCAAGGGCCGCGTCCCCCTCACAAACCCGCACCCTGCCCCGCATCCTGCGCTGCTGCGGGCGCGGGGCCGAGGCCCGGCCGCTGCTCCGGCATCAGCTGATCCCTGCCTGTGCCCGTGCTGCAGTCAGGCACAGAGATTGCCAGGGCGCCGGCGAGGGGACAGCGGGGTGGCAGCGCGGGGGGCTCGGGGAGCCGGGGGCAGCCGTGCCCTGAAAGCCGAGCCACCTGCGCGCTGCTACCTGCTGAATAATAGAGGAGCTGACAGGCAGCGGGCAGAAATGTGATGCTGCCGAGCCAGCCCGGGAAGACATCCGAGCTGCCGGCAGCCGCGCTAGCGACTGCGGCCGAGGAGCCCCGCGCGGCGTGCCCGGGCTGCCCGCAGCGCTCTGCCCAGCCCGGCGTGCCCGGGCCCGCTCCAGGGCACGGGCTCGGGGCTGCCAGGGTGATGTGAGCTGCGGCGGGCGCCCAGCGAGGCAGAGCTCAAGGGCAGAGCTGGGTTTCCCGGGGGGGGAGGCGGAGGCTGCCCGCAGGCAGTGCCCGCGCCCGGGGCAGCAGCTCAGCCCCATGTCCAGAGGAGGGGAGGTGGTTTATATCCCCGATGACTCCGACTTCAGCTCCTTCAGGGATCAGTGCGAGAGCCTGGAGGGCTGGCACTGCCGGTATAACAAGGCCGGCGTGACCGTGTGGAGTCAGGGCCAGGAGGAGAGCTGCACCGTGCAGAAAATCAAGGTAAGCAGAGCTTCCCTGCCCCGGCCGTGTGCCCGGCGGCTCCCGAGGGTCCCTGGGGACTGCCCCGTGCTGGAGATGCGCAGTCCCGCCTGCCTGGGGCTGTCCGTGCCCCCAGTTCCAGGGCTGGCGGGGTTAGAGCCCCGGAGGTGTTTCCCAGCTGCTCCGCCGGCTCCTGCTGCCCGCCCGCGGCTTCCCCTGCCGGGATGCCGCCGGTCCCGCCGGGTGGGCTCACGGGCGGCTGCCCCCGGTCCCGATCAGCCCCGGGGTCGGTCACACTGCGGGGCTGGCCCTGCCGGGAGCTCATGGGACGCGTCCCTGGTGTCCTTCTCCGGCCCTGCGCCCCGGGGTGAGATCCTGCAGGAGCGCCAGGTGCTGCTCTGGGAGGTTTGTCGCTTGCCAGGGGCTGGATCTGGGGTGCTGCAGAGGGACAAGGAGGTTCAGCCATCCCTCAGGTGTCTTTTGGTTGATCTGCACAGCCCCAGTGGCACTGCCGGGTGACCCTGGGCACGTCAGGAGTGGCTGCAGGGGGCTGGGGGCACGGCGTGAGCCCAGGGTGGGCATCACGGGCTTTGGCTTTTCTGGCACCAAGAATCCCAACCCCTGGGCAGGGATGGGATCTGCCAGAGCGAGGAGAGGCAGAACAGCCGACCTGCAGGAAGCCCAGCTGTGGAGAGCATTCAAACAGGCTGCCGCGGGAGGGTCAGCATGGCCTGGGGAGCAGGGAGGGCATGGGGAGGTGGGGAGGAGGGAACAGCGCTCTGGAAGAGGCTCTCCCACCGCTGTCCTGAGCACGGGACACCCAGCAGCTCCTCTCCTGCAGCCAGGGCACGAGGAGGAGCTGGGCACACGCTGCTGCTGTGGACAGAGACCCTTCAGGCCAGGGGGAGGAGCAGGAGCAGCACTCTCAGCAGAGCTGCAGCTGCAGTACACATTTCCCTGCTGCCGTGAGCCAGGGAAGAGCTTCTGCACCTGGATCAGGGAGCGTTTAAACCAGCTGGGCATACACAGGATTAAAGGGGGCTGAGGGGTCAGGCCAGCACCTTTGAAAATCCCAGTGATCACAGCAGGTCCCTGACACCTGGAAAGAGGCAAAAATCATAATCCTCTCCCAAAAGGAAGCTCCAGGGTGGCACTGTGGGCTGCTGTGTCACCTCCATCCCTGGGAAGGACATGGAGAATGTGCTCCTGGAAGCCATGTCCTGAAGGAGGAGGGCAGTGGTGACAGCAGCAAGGACCTGCCAAGGGTAAATCGTGCCTGAGCAGCCTGCTTGCCTCTGCAGGGAGAGGTCTGGCTCTGCGGGTGTGGGCAGATCCAGCGGGTCCAGCCTTGGACAGGGCTCCCCATAGTGCGATCTGGACTGGAGAAGTGGATGTTGCCCAGAGGGACCAGGACAGGCTGGCAGGAGCCCCTGGAGTCCAGCCTGGCAGAGGGGTTGCAGTTCTGTCCCCTCTGAGGGGACCCCAGGCAGGTCCGGGCAGTCAGGGAGCATCACCCAGCCTGGTTCAGTGCAATAATGGGGTTTTTCCTGCCCTGGAGAGGGCCTGGCCATGGTGCAGGGGTTGTCACTGCCCAGAGCCCCTTCCCAAAACATGGGATGCAGTCCGAGCTGCACAGCTCCCTTGGGGTAAGGAGAGCCTCGCTCTGTCCATTAACTGAGGGAGCTAATTATCTCAGATTCCCTGAGCAGCTGGAGCTTTGGATTTTTTTCCACCTGAATTCCCTGTGGACGCGTCTGAGTTCTGTGTTTTCCCCATCCCAGCTGCTGTGCCTGGCAGGGCTGCTTATCCAAGGCTGGGGGGGGGGGGGGGGGGGGGGGGGGGCCCTTTTTGGGGGGGGGGGGGGGGGGGATGGTGGACAGCCTTTAGTGGAGAATTTGGGGCTGCAAGTCTGCGGTGGTCCCTCTGTGACAACCGGAATTTCCAGGAAGCCCATGAGCTCCACCTGCAGCTGGAAAAATCCCTCACCCTGCAGCAGCAGCACCTCCAGACCCCGCTGCGAGGGTGCAGCAGGAGGGAGAGCAGGAGCAGGGGCTGGGTGCGCCCACCCTCCCCGGTGCCCTGGGCACTGCAGCACATCTCCTGGGCACGAGTCCACCCGTACCGGGCCACCGGGAAAGCTGGCCCGAGATTGATGGGACCTGCCGCGCTCGGAGGGCCATCTCGGGTTACCCGGCGCCTCATCAAAGATGCAAGGGCTCTAACGAGGAGCAGATGACATCTCCCTCCTGCCGGCGCTCTGGGGAGCAGCGCGGCCGCCTTCATCAATAATGCACGGGCAGCTCCGCGGCTCCGGTTACAGCCGGGCCGACAGCCCCGGGAGCGGACCCGAAACCCCCCGGGAATGGGCCTGACACCCCCCGGGAATGGGCTTGACACCCCCTGGGAGCAGACCCAAAACCCCCCGGGAATGGGCCTGACACCCCCTGAGAGCAGACCCAAAACCCCCTGGGAATGGGCCTGAGACCCCCGGGAATGGGCTTGACACCCCCTGGGAGCAGACCCAAAACCCCCTGGGAATGGGCCTGACACCCCCGGGAATGGGCTTGACACCCCCTGGGAGCAGACCCAAAACCCCCCGGGAATGGGCCTGACACCCCCAGGAATGGGCCTGACTAAACCCCCCAGGAGCAGACCCCACACCCAAGACTACCATGAAGGCACACGGGCACCCCTTTGTTTGCCCTGCAAGGACACGGGGCAGGGGACAGGCACCAAAGCCAGACCATCCTGTGAGGCTCATCCTAAGCCCGCTCTGGCTGCGGGAGCGCTGGCTCCGGGGCTGTCCTGCAGAGCACCCTCCGTGGCACAGGGACACGGGACAGCCCAAAGTCCTCGTGCCCAGGTGGGCACAGCCCCGGCGCTGGGTGCTGCCCCTCTCCCCACAGACCCGCATCTCCTGCAAGGACGTCCCCGCCGAGACCCTCTACGACGTGCTGCACGACACCCGCTACCGCAGCAAGTGGGACTCCAACATGATCGAGACCTACGACATCGGGCGCCTCACCGTCAACGCTGATGTGGGATACTACTCCTGTGAGCAGCCCTGAGACCCCCGGGTCCCCCTCCCCAGCCCCATGCCCCCCGTGAGTGTGTGTGGGGCCGCGGGTAACGGGATCTGCCCGCAGGGAAGTGCCCGAGCCCCCTGAAGAACCGGGATTTCGTCACGCTGCGCTCCTGGCTGCCCCTGGGCAATGACTACATGATCATCAACTACAGCGTTAAGCACCCGGTGAGCTGCCCCCAGCCCTGGCAGCGCTGCCCGCGGGCACAGGCAGGGCTGGGCAGGCTCTGAGGTGCCTGGAATGTCCCCGCAGAAATACCCGCCCCGCAAGGATTTCGTGAGGGCCGTGTCCCTGCAGACCGGGTACCTGATCAAGGCCAACGGGGACGGTGCCTGCATCCTCTATTACCTCACCCAGGTGGACCCTCGCGGTGAGTGCCCACAGCAGGGGAGGGGGCTTACCCAGAGCTCACCCCCCGGGCTCTGCATCACCCAGGCACCCGGGAATGGAGGGTGCAGGGGTGCCCACCCCAGCCCTGGGCGTGCTGAGGGCTCGTGGAGCCTCCCCTGGAGCTGGCCCTGCTTCCCCGGGTGATGGAGCTTTGGGCTCTTACAGGGTCGCTGCCGAAGTGGGTGGTGAACCGCGTGTCCCAGTTTGTGGCACCAAAGGTAAGGGGGATGCATGGCTGATGGTGGGAGCCCCGGGCAGCAGGGATGAGCTGCCCAATTACCCCTGGGTGGGGCCAGGGTGGGTGAGCCCAGGGCCCACAGGGCTCTGAGGGTGGATGCTGGGAGACCCAGAACTCATGGAATGGTGCTGGGAGACCCAGAGCTCACCAAACAGGTGACCCAGGACCTGCAGGACGGGTGCTGGGTGGCCCAGAGCTCACAGGATTGGTCCCGGGTAATCCAAGGCTCACAGGATGGGTGCTGCATAACCCAGAGCTGGCAGAATGGGTGCTGAGCAATCCAGAGCTCACAGCATGGATCCTCAGTGATGCAGAGCTCCCAGGATGAGTGCTGGGTGACACAGGGCACGTTGCTGGGGCATCCAGGCTCTTATCCCCTGGCAACACCCCAAACCCTGCAGCGGGGGAGCTGTGCCCACAGCCCGAGGCAGCTGCAGCCCCGCTGTGCCCGCAGGCGATGAAGAAGATCTACAAGGCTGGGCTGAAGTACCCGGAGTGGAAGCGCCGGCACGACCCCGAGTACAAGCCCTGGGTGTACCCCGAGCAGAACACGCTGCCCAGCGTGAGCCTGGCCGAGCTCTCCGTGCAGCACGCGGATTCCCTGGAAAACATCGACGAGACCGGCCTGCCCGAGGAGCACCTGAGCACCAGTGACCACGAGGCCTGAGCCCTCTGCCCAGGGAATGCCCTCACCACCGAGGCTTGGCACCCAGGGGCACAGCTGGGAATTTGGCTCCCCGCTTCCCAATAGTCACATCTGCTCTCTGACTCCTTCATCATTGACCCCCCCCCCCACCCAGGCAGCAGGGAACTGTCCCGTGGGATCTGTGCCACAGGTGCTGGAAAGAGG